CGCACGCCTATAATCCCAGCACTCGGGAGGCTGAGATAGGAGGATCGCTGTTAGTTGAGACCAGCCTGGGCTACATAGTAAGTTCCAGGTCAGTCTCAACTACATAGGGAGACCCTGTCTGAAAAAAAAACCAAAAACCAAAAAACAAACAAACCAACCTAGGATCAATGGAAACAGAGATATTTTTTACATACTACTTCCTCATTATCCCATCTTTTGGGAGGAGGGGGGAGTTACTGGGGATTGAATCTAGGGCTCTGCAGGGATTACATCTTCAAAGCTTTAAAATTGTTTTTTTGTTTACTTATTTATTTATTTGGTACCGGGGATCAAACTCGAGTCCTTGCACTTGTGAGGCAGGCCCTGGAACCACTGAGCTGAATCCCTGGCCCTAAAATTGTTATTTTGGAACAGGTCCTTCCTAAGGTGCCCAGGCTGGCCTTGAGCTTTCAATGGTCCTGACTCAGATTTTCAAGCAGCTGGAACTGTAGGTGTACAGCACCTTGAGCTGACTCAGATTTTCAAGCAGCTGGAACTGTAGGTGTACAGCACCTTGAGCCTGCACGATGGCCATGCCTGTGACCCCCCAACACACAGGAGGCTCAGGCAGGAAGACAGCAAGCTTGAGGTTGGCTGAACTAAGCATGATCCTGTCTTAAAACAACAGAACAATGCTTAGAATCAGAAAGTAGAGCAGTGGATGCCCAAAACTCAGAGGAAGGGGAAGCAGAGGATTGTTTAATGATGAATTTCAGTTTTCCCAGATGAGGAGTCAGCAAGAAAGAAGGCAGTGGCAACTGTACAACACTGTGAATGTATATAATCCCACTGAACTGCCCATCTAAAATAGTCAAATGTTAAGTCTGACGTTATGTGTTTTAACATAGTAAAGAAAAATTAGGAAAGGTTTATGCTCAGGAATTTAAGCAGAGGTGCCAGTTAAAGCCTGCAAACTTTAAAGGTCAGAATTCTAAGCTTCTTAACTAGAACTTCCTGACAAATACATATATAGTATATCTTGGAAAAGGGGCACTGTGGATCTATTTTTTGGAGAGGGTTTCCCTATGTAGTTCAGGCTGGCCAGCAACCCTCCTACCTCAGCCTCCTTAGCGCTGGGGTTACAGGTGTGCATCACTATTTCTGGCAATCTTTTTGCTTTTGGGGGGGTGGCGTACTGGGGTCATGACTTTGACCCTGCAAGGTAGGTGCGGTGCCAATGAGCTAAAACCCCAGCAGCACCCCTCCATCTTTTTTTTTTTTTTGGTCTTATTTTGAGATAGGGTCTCACACCAAGTTGCCTTGGCTGGGCTCCAACTAGCGATCCTTCTGCCCTAGCCTTCCAAAGTGCTGGGATTACAGATGTCATCTGTAATCTGTAAATTTTTTTTTTTTTGCAATGGGTCTCATGTCAAGGCTAGCTTCAAACTCTAGGGTTCAAGTGACCCTCCTGCCTCAGCCTCCGGACTACCTGGGATTCCAGGTGCAAGTCACTACACTCAATTTTCAAGAATGCTTTAAAATTTTATACCTTTACTACTTTTAGCAGGCACCATTTCAGCAAACTCAGTTTTAGCTACCCATGAGATCCAATGGCTTTCAGTTAATCCCTAATAAGGTTTTGTTGCCACCAGAAATGTAAAATCAAAAGGCTAAAAGGGGAGGGGCTGTAGAGCTCAGTGGCACCATGCCTGCCTGGCAAGCCCAAGGTTCTGTGTTGATTCCTGGTACAAAAAGGAAAAACAAAAACTAGGCATGGTGGTGCTCCTCTGTAATTCCAACAGTCAGAAGATTGAGGCAGGCGGATCATCACAAGTTCAAGGGCAGCCTAAACCACATAGTGAGACTCTGTCTCAAAGAAACAAAAAAAAGCAAAACAAAACAAAGGCCAGACATGGCAGTACAACTCTGTGATCCCAGAGCTCTAGAAAACGAGGCGAGCCCAGGCTGAGTTTAAAACCAGTCTGAACAGCAGAGACCCTAACTCAAAAAACAAACAAATAAACAACAAACAAAAAAGTTGGCATGGTGGTGACAACTGTAGTCCCAACACTTGGGAGGCGGAGACAGGAGGATGGCTATGAGTTAGAGGCCAGTCTGAACTACAAAGTGAGACCCTGCCTCAACAAGCAAAGATAAAACAAAGTCCATTCCAGACCTTATACAGTCAACTCTTGACAATATGGAATTGTTTTGAGTTGCTTGTTGGACAGTACAGTCCCCGGCTCTTCCCTAGGCTGCTGGGGACATGCCTGTAGAGGCTTGGGGAAAAGGCAGTCATGTAATGTTGCTTCCTGCAACTACCCAATAAATAAGCTTTTGGGAAATGTGTAAATGCCCCCTCCCCCAACTGAAGTGGAGTTGAACCCAGTCACACTGAGCTACACCTCCACCCCCTTTTAGATTTTGAGACAGGGTCTTGCTAAATTGCCCAGGTTGTTCTAGAACATGTAATCTTCCTGCCTCAGCCTCCCAAGAGTGCTGGGATTACAGGCAGGGATCACCACACCCAGATAATCAGATAAGGGTAATTCAATTCAAGGCTGCTATTCCTTTTGCCTGTGATCCAAGTGACTTACAGAGCTGAGATGTACTACCAGTCGAAGGTGTTTTGGACTACGGAACTACAGAAAAAGATACATTACACAAGAGTCAAATAACAAAACACAGTCTGGCTTTCCAATAGGTGGTAATCTTCCATCATGCTTTATATATAAGCTTGTCTAGCACTGACAATTGATGTGAATTTAACTGGACAACTGCAATGATCATGGAGGAGCAGCACCTGGTTCACTGTTTCTACTGCACTGCTAAATTGCAGAGTCCAAAGTCTGATCTGGTCCTCTCTGTACACACACACACACACACACACACACACACACACACACAATTTCTTTTTTTGAGACAGGGTCTCACTATGTAGTTGAGACTGACCTGGAACTCACTATGTAGCCCAGGCTGGTCTCAAACTCACAGTGATCCTCCTGCCTCAGCCTCCCGAAGAGTGCTAGGATTATAGGCTTACAGGCGTGCACCACCATGCCTGGCCCCATTCATGTATAAATAAACAAACCCACTAACAGGTTTTAAACTACTTTTAGGAAACTGAATACTTTCCATGTACATTTACATGAGTATGAGGCCAAGTGGAATATTCCAAGGTGAGATGCAGGTGGTGCTTAACAGCAAAGGGGCTCTCAATCCCAGCACTGTGGGAGGCTGAGCAAGGAGAATCAGCACAGTCTGGGCAATGTGGAAACTCAGAGACCATCTCAAAATAAAACAGTAAAAAAGGATTTGGGAGGTAGTTCGGTGCAAAGTCTCTGGGTTCCATCCCCAGTAACAGAAGAAAAGAAGTAAACAGCTAAGACTTTCTATTAGGGAGCCTAAGAGATGTACAGTGAGTGCTAGCTAGTAGCTTTCCTACCCAGCTTTGGTAGTACTTCCCGGCCAAGGGCTAACATTTTCATTTGCCTGCTGATAAATGAAATGAATCACGTCTTAAAGAATTTTACCTTTGATCACTCTATACTTTTTTTTGACTGTCCAAAGCTCTCCCAACTGACAATCTGACAGACACAAAGTCTAACTTGAACACCTCCACTGTTACAGGAAAAGCTGGCAAATTTGCCTAATGAGAATTTCAAAATAAAGGCGTGCCTAGCTTGAGTACAGTATGGCCACCTACTGTAGTCCTAATGCAACTAATAGTTTAACTTGAACTATCCTTGTTTAGGAAGTTTTTCTGAGTACTTCTAAAGGTTTTTTTCAAAAAAAAAAAACAAACAAAAAATCCTAGTTATTAGATTTCAAGGAGACAAGTGCAAAGCTGATGTCTAGAAACCTACCCCAAAGGCACTAACTTTACATGTCATCCAACATTTCTTTTTTATTAGCAAATAAAATATTCTTTGAACTACTGGTGGCTCCGCCTACTTCATCTTCCACATTAGTGTTATGAACGATATTGGGTACACTCCCTCACTAAAACAAGCTTTTGTTTGAGCCATTCCCAAACCAAGGTATTAAAAGTGATCATTCTTCACACCAAACAAAGCTACTTTTTGGACAGCAACCCGGGGAATGGACACCTCAGTAGGTACTATTGTGGTGTTAGCCTGACAAAGTAATCCTTTCTGTAAAAGAACACAAGGGCCAAGTGTGCCCTTGACAAATAACACGATGTTTATAGCCTACCTTCTCAATCTTGTAAGCCTTAAATTTTTAAAAACCACAGTGAGGGTTTCTGGATTTAAACATCATGAGCTTTTTACTCGCCAGTATTTTTCTTTCAAAGGAGCACTATTTTGCATTTGACCAGTATCAGAAAGAAGCTAAATGCAATTCCTTCTCTAGATGAAGACAAACTAGAAAGAGAACATTTTTCTCCAGCATGCATGCAGCACCTGTCAATAAGGTACTCTGATCCATCAAAGACTGACACACAAAAACACGCTATGATGTATTTGTTTTCGTTGGTCTTCCCCCTCTCCCCAGCCTCCCTCCACTGGCAGCAAATCTGACCTTTCCTGGGATCAAGCAACCAAGGGGAAAAGAATCGCTTCTCTCGCAGCCCCAGCTCTGCCGGGTTTCGGGCTTCGGATCTCTGGAGCACAGCGGGAGAGGCGGGGGAGCCGGCCCGGCGCGGGGCAGCCCGGGACCCTCACCTCGCGCCGGCCCCGCCACAGGGAACAGGGCCGCGCTTGCCCCCGGCCACTCGGCGCCGTGGAGACCTGGCCTTGCGGGCGACGTGGGACAAAAATGATGCGTTGTCGTCCACAGGAAGCAAAAGAAGGGATTCTCCCCAAGAGCAAGGCACACCGCCTAACCGCCGCCCGGAGCGCGCCATTTCCAGGCCCCAGCCCTCCAGGCGCCTCTCCCAGGCTTCCGCCGGCCCACCCGGCCCTTGTCCTCATCATCCCGCGTAAGCGCAGCAAAGCCGCCTCCGACAGGCTCCCTCCAACTCTCCCATCCCCTCAAGGTCCGAGCGGGGCCCGTCTCACCCTCTGCCGCCGCCGAAGCTGCTGTAGGCCCGATCGTCGTAGGTATCGAAGTCCGCCATTTGCCGTCTCCGCTCCGAGAGGAACCAGGCTGAGCAAGGAAGGACCCAGCAATATAACTCTCCCAGCCCCGCCTCCGGGGCTGTCCGCGGCGCCGCCTGATCGCAAATCGCAGG